GAAATAGAGGATCTGAGAGGTCAGGTTACTTGCTCAGAGCCACAGAGCTAGCTGGTAGTTGTGTCAGGGTTGGTTTCCTGCCAGAGCCTGAGTACTTAGCCTCTCTACATAATATGAGATGCCGCCAACCAATTTTCCAGGTGCAGACATGGCCCCTTCAAGAACCTTGGTTCTGCTCGTTGGACACATTGGGATTTGTGTCTCCTCTCTTTGGTGGTGGACTTTGGTGGTGGACTCTTTGTGGATAGTGCACTGCCTTCCTGATGTATCAGAAGACAGCTCAAGTATATTTTACTTTGTTTATAAACTCAGCTCATGAATGCCAGAGAAGGAAACTGTGAAAGACTTTTCCTTTCAGACCAATCATCTTGTTCACCAAAAAAAAATTATATATTCCCTACATGCAGCTTCACTTCCAGCAAGTTCCAGGTTCCCAGGTCTAGGAAAATACATGAAGACAGTACTACATAACTTCCTCACTGTGGAGATTGAGGACAGCTCATGTAAATTAGGGTTCTTGTGAAATTTTACATTATATTGTTAACGTATTAGTGTTGTTTTTTATTTGCATCTAAAGATGCATATGTGCTTTGGCATAATGGGAGGCTTATTAGATCTCAGCTTTTGCCTGCTTTGCTCAAAGAAACTAAATGCACCAGATTATCCCCACATCCATGTCTTTGCTGGTTGAAGAGTACTCATGGTTTGGGGAAGGAAGAGGAAGGCAAAAAAGGACTTTTTGCCTTTATAAAGTGCCCACCACTGTGCATGGTGCCATTAGGTACTTTATCTGGACTACATGGGATAGCCACAGTTACAGATAAGGAAACTGAGTCTCAAAAGATCCATGTGTCTTACCCAAAGTCATCCAGATGGCACCCAGAGCTGGGATTTGAGCACAAGGCCTTCAGAAATCTCTCACCTTTCCACCATTCTAGACTGCCTGCTCCAATATGAAGGAGCTATCCAGTGCTACGTATCCACATTGGTGCTTTGCATACTGGAGAGCAGTGTCTATGTTGGTATTGTCAGGGTGGGAATAGACTGCATTGGTTATTTGATCTGAGAAGTGCGTCATCACTGCTTGGATATCCAGTGAGGTTTTAAAGACAGACTTATGAACCTACACAATGGAAGCATATTCAGTTTTATAATAATAGTGTATGAGCTTTTTCTTAATTTCCCCTGATATCCTACCTGTGAGTAGCTTTCTCACAGTAATCAGAGGGGAACTTGTCCCTGACATAAGAAAGGGTCTTGCTCAGTCATTCTGTTTCTTTGGGTTTTGTGGAATTCACCTTGAGGGAGGGTGAGAGCTAGGATGCACTACAGATAGCTCTTGCAAACCTCTCTACTATTTCCCATTAGTGGATACATGTGTGAGTTGTATGCCTGTTTTATATTTACAAGAGGAAGTATCCCGTTTAATTTTATTTTCACACCAAAAGCCCAAGTGTTAAGAGAACACGGTGTTTTAACACTCCCTCGGTTATCAGCTGCAGAGCGGAGGTTGTATATTGTCACATACAATTTTCGGCGTATATTTCTACATTTGTTACCTGGCAACATCGCTGCACTGGGACATGAAGATGTGTTGGTTCCTACCAGATCCTCATTGTTCATACCATAGAAGGCAGAAGTTGTTTTCCTCTACAGGGATTTAGAAGAAGAGAAGAGACAAGGAAAGCTGGTGGGGCTTGGTTACCAGATGGGCTTACCAGATGAGCTTCAGTGACATGACCTGGGACCAGGTACTGGCCAGGGGAGGTGGACTTTTGTTCTGTCTCTGCAGCAGCTCTTTTAAACTCTCAATCTGATCCCTCAAATGTTAGACAAGGGTTGGTATTAGGTAACCTTGAAGACTAATTACAATTCTTTGTCTTCTTAAAGTAGAAACAAAACAACAACAAACTCTCATTCTGGTCATTTTATGAGTCATCTAGCCACTTTAAATACTGTAATGGCAAAAGCCTCATATTACATGGGCATCTTTTTAATTACTCATATTTGATACTCAATTATTTGCCTGAATTTGTGCATTATTGTGTTTTTGGCCACCTACTAGTTCTAATGAAAAAGGAAATCCCACAGTAGAAATGACAGCCACAGCACCTCTGTACTGATTATAGCCTGATGGGGTATTTTGTTTTACTGAGAGATGATGCATCAAAAACACTGTCTGTAGAATTTTTTGAATGTTTAAGTGGGGCCTCTGTATACGCTCAGGTCATCATGTCCCCCTTACCTCCTGCCTCGTTTAACTAACACCTAAGTGTCTGACCCTTCAAGATATTTGCGTTGGAAATTTTTGCATTATACATGGGGGATCCCCCCCAAAATGGAATTTATTTATTATAAGTTGTGTATTAATTCTTGCATGTTTAAATTCAGTCACCTTCAAAGTCCTCTCCATTTGATGCAATACACCTACTGAGATGCTTTTTCCACTGCTTAAAACAGTTTTGAACTCGTCAAGTTTTATACCTTTTAGAGCTTCTGCTGTTTTTGTTTCAACTCTTCCACATCTACAAACATTTCCCTTTGAGGACTCCTTTTATCTGGGGAAACAAAAAAGAAGTCACATGGGGTGAGACTGGGTAAATAGGAAGGGCGGGCCATGCCATTTTTGGTTAAAAACTGCTGAACACTCAGCACATTGTGGACAGGTACACTCATATATCATGAAATGGCCAAATGGACTGAAAGAATCTCAAAAAAAATTTTTTTTTCACTGAAGCCAAATACAGCCTCTCATAACACTAGCGGGGGTACACTTATGCCAGTGGGTTCCTAGAACACTTACCTAGTGGAAGAAGCCTGTACTACAAGGGGTCCACCCTCCAAAAAATAATTCCAGTTTTTTTGGGGTCTCCCCTCATAGGTTTGAAAGTCCTTTCAGTTCAAACCACACATTCTAAGACCTGAAAAAAAGTACTAAGACCACTGAACTCATGAACACCTGTAACATTGCTTGAAGAATGCTTGCTGAGGAAAAGTTCCCATGGCACAGTTTTCAAAAGTTTTGTGGCATCAACAGCTTAAACAATAAATCAAAATCAGGGAGCCAGCAGCATATCCTATACACACACACTTCTTTTAAACTACCTCCTGACAGAGATACTGAAGTGAGATTCTGGTCACAAGCATGGAGGGGCACTGGAGGATTTGGCTAGGCTAGACTGGATTTCAGGACACCTGATTTATGTTTTCCTGGATAGTGCTTATTGCTAGCAGCATCTTTGAGGAGGCCTTTTCTGTCCACTGGACTCTTACTGTCATTCCTGTTAAGGAAGAAAAAGATAACTGATTATGCCTGGAGAGTATTTAGAAACCACCAGTTAGCTTTAAATATATATGTGGTGCTGTAGCCTCCTTTCAAAAACCCAAGATGCCATTTTAATGATTCTTTGCTCTTGGGTATTAAATTTACTCTTTAATTCTCATCAGGAAATGTTCTGAGAGGAAGCTACAAGATTCCTTACTTTATTTTAGTTTTTGTAGCTAGTGGATTTTTTTTTTAATGCCAAGGAGGACTTGACTCTAAGGAGGGTTCCTAACTTGGACAACCATTCTGAGTACCCTTAACTTGGAAATCTATATCCTGCTGTTTAAACTTTAAGATGATTCCTATCTGGATTAAAGTCCTCAACCAGCAGGCCGAGGCAAACTCTAAAGAAAAACAAGGTCATGCTGCATTTTTTTGGTAAGCACAGGAATCAACAAAGAGATGTTATATAACTTCTATTTATATCTTCCTTGCTCACTATCTGCAGGCAGACAAGAGTCGCTGAGAAGGGATTTAATGAGCTCTCTGGGTTTGCTCACCTTCCTGAGCTGGTAGGAACCAGCTTGTTCTCAAATGCGTCAGTAAAGAATCTGGCTGTGGGTGGGCGGCCAGGGTAGGTGGACTGAGTTGTTGCTATGGTGTTTTTTAATTCCCCTGTCTCTCAAAGATCTCACTCCCTCCTTGCCTGACTCCTTCCTTTTCCCCCTTCTTTTCTTTTCTTTTCTTTTCTTTCTTTCTTTCTTTTTTTTAAGTCTCTAAGCTTCCTTGTTTCTCACACCTACTCATGATTTTGGAGCTGTCTCCGGAAGCAGAATATTTTCCCTCTCCTTCCTAAGAGCTCAGCTCCCCCACTGTGTAGCTCCAGGACGTCGGAAGGATTTTTTCTAAAGGGTACTTTTCCCACCCTCCCCTGTTTCTTTTCCCATGATTTTTTATTACCTGCCCCTCTATTAGCGGGACCTATCCTAGAAGTCTTCCTGATAGAGGCTTTTTCTCCCAAGCTCCAAATTTGGGTTGCTCTGAAACCAAGTGGATTCTGTTGCTAGCTGGGCAGTCAGCATGGCCTGGAGGAGACAGGCTGTGTGTATTTCCAAGACATCCTTCTTTGTGCTCCTGTACTCTTGCCCTGGGTGAAGGGATGTTGTCTCCTATCTCCTCTGGCACATTATGAAATAGAACCACATGGAAACAGGAGGATGGGTTTTGCCACACAGTGATAATTCCTGGAGCTTGGGTAACTCCTATTACCTGAAGGTTGCAGGTTAAAATTACTTAGCCTGTATCAAAAAAAAAAAAATTTAAGTGAGTGTCCCATCGACTTCTCAGCGAGGAAGCTGATTATGCAGTTCTGAGAACCCTGTGGCTGCACCAGGAGTGGTCACCTGTGCCCTGGCTGGCCCAATAGTGGCCACAGTGACATCTGGGATGGCTCTTTTGTCCATCACAATCCCACCACAGCACAGGCACTTGGAAGATGTGAGGAGGGAGGTTAGAATGAAAAGTTCTTAGAAAAGAATAAGTAGTTCCATGAGGACAGGCTGAAAAAATCTTTTAAAAGCCAAACCCACCCCTGCCTTGCCCAACAGTTGTGCAATCCTTAAGAGCAGTAGCCTGTTTGAATAATCAAAGGCAGGCTGACTTCCCCTTATTAACTTCTGTTAGAGACATCTGCATAAAATATCCCCGGATTCCAGACCAAGTAGGTAATTTTTTTTTCCTCTGAGTAACTGGAGGGACTTTCCCTTTGGAAATCTTCCAGTAGAGTCCACTTCATGGTTGAGACTGTTTTCTCATTAGAAGGTGCCAGCAGCTAAATTCCTGATGTGGGGACTGGAAAGACACCTCACCCACAAACTTGGAGCCCCCTCTTCTGAGGATTGACTCGATATTCACAGCCAGTTCTAGTTCTTCCATCTTGACCCTCCTTTTCACAGCAAAATCTCTGCCCACTTACATTTCCTGAGGACCTCTAAGTTCCTTTTTGAAAGTGTCAGAGGCTCTCTTGAAGTTCCTATCAGTTTCCCATGCCTGGGTTTTAAACTTTTCATCAAGATGGCTCAGACACTGAAAGGTATAGTCCTGTAAACCATCTGAGGTCTTCATGCCTCTTGTTTCCCTTTGAATTCAGGACTTAAAAAATATATATCATATTGTTCTTCGAGGAGAATGTGTTTCAGTTGCTCTCACCAGACGGTGTTCGAGAAATGTGTTTTTATTAGCCTCCTTGCGACACAAGCCCACAAACTGTTCAACCCAGAGCTTGTAGCTATCAAGTCTGGGGAGGGAGCCAGGTTCTGGGATGGAAGGGCCTCAAATGATTGTTCTTCACTTCCTGCGTCATAGTTAATAATGTGAGATGATGTGTCACTGGGGCCAGAGTAGTTAACAGTTAACTAGGTGGATTAAGGCTCACCAACCAGCCTGAATGCATCAAAGAGTTAAGGGCAAAAACCTGATAAGCCTTTGAACGGTGACAATACCATGTCAGCCACCTTGGGCTGCATCTTCCCATTTAACAGGACTTTGAGGTTTCACACGCAAGGATCTTCTGGTCGTTGAGTTAAACTTTGTCATTGATGCAAAGTTTGACTTGATTTAAGTGGTTTAGAAATTGCACCTCCTCCAGGATTATTGTTCATTCATTAATATAGTTTTAAAAAAATGTTTAAGAGACAGGGTCTTGCTATGTTGCCCAGATTGGCCTTGAACTCCTGGACTCAAGCAATCTTCCCACCTCAGTCTCTGAAGTAACTGGAACTACTGGCGGGTGCCACCATTCTGGGCTTAATATAGTAAATATTTATTGAGCACTTCCTGGGTGCCAGGTGCTGCACAAGCCAACCATGATACAGTCAGGGATGAGATCAACATGGGCCCTGCCCTCTGGGAGCTTACAGTCTAGTGAGAGAGATGGCTAAGATGCTAGTTCACAATCAGCTGAGTAACACCTGGGAGAAGTGTGATGGGAAGCAAACAGGGTCCACTTCGGGTGGTCAGGGCAGACTTCTCTAGGGAGATGCCATTCAAGCTGAGACCCAACATGAGTAGAGAAGCAGTTGTGTAAAGAGTAGCAGAGGGCAAGAGTATTCCAGAAGATGGGATTGGTGTGGGCTTGGTATGTTGGAGGACCTGAATGAAGGAGGCTAACATGGTGGGAGATAGCAGTGGGGGCTGACAGGGCAACCGCCAGTGCCTGCTTCACCAAAGTGACACACTTGTTATCCGGTGGGGGCTGGATGAGGTGATCTTCACAGTACCTGCCAAACCTTAGTCAGTGCTTCTAAAGAGCACCAAGTTGGCTCGGACCCATTACCTGCTTAGATGTGTGCTGCTGCTGCCAAAACCCTAATACACAAAGCAGCATTCACCCAGATGAGCACTGTGTAATTTCACCCTGCCCTCCTCCATCCACTTGGTCATCTGTACATCTCACTGTAGGCTGCGAGGGATGCTCTCTTTGGCCAC